GTGACAGGCTGATGTCGGACGACCTCAGCTCACGGCGACGGATTGATGTCGGACGACCTTAGATGACTGTGACAGGCTGATATCGGACGACCTCAGCTCACGGCGACGGGTTGATGTCGGACGACCTTAGATGACTGTGACAGGCTGATGTCGGACGACCTCAGCTCACGGCGACGGGTTGATGTCGGACGACCTTAGATGACTGTGACGGGCTGATGTCGGATGACCTCAGCTCACGGCGACGGGTTGATGTCGGACGACCTCAGCTCATGGTGACCAGCTCGTTCACCTTTGAGTCGAATGCGCTTGTCATGGTTGAGAGTGTCAGTGCCCAACATGTCCTCTGGTGGTTATCGCCAACGCTGGCGCTAGCACAGTGTGGGATGCTTACAGACCGCATCGGCTCATAATTCTGTTTATGCCAGACTGCCGTCAGTCGCTGGCCAAGCTCCGTATCATGTGCTCTTTTCGACAATGTGAGATAATCGCCATGTAATATGCAGCATGACCCGAGAATATTACCAGCTACCAGCAGCTGTACTTGTGCTCTTTGACGACAGCTCAGATTCGTATTGCACACTCCGGGCTTGTTCAGCACGATATGCAATATCAGCAAATTATTCGGGGTTCCTTCAGTGAACCGAAACGCTTAGCAAGCCGAAACCTTGGAACCACGAAGTTTCAAGACTGCGCCAACCGATGTATTCAAACCAGCATGGTCATGGCTCAGCGGAGGCGTGCCTGAGCGCCACAGGATCGTTCGGCTCCTTTTCAACTGCTCTCGCCCAGGGCCGGGGCAGTTTGGTTCGACCCCTTTGATTTGGTACGCGATGACCTCGGTCCCCCCGTGACTTACTCGGGGGTAAACTTGACCTCGTGCCAAGTTCGCCAAGTCCGGAGATAACGCGCGGTCTTCGGTCTTGGCTCTGCTGTTGGACGGATGATTTGATAATTTGCCGCGTTTTGGCCATATTTTCGTATGGGGACCATAGCGAGGTGCCCCGGACGCCTGACGGAGTCGGCTAGCAATCCAACATAACTGCCAGCCCGAAGTGAAAGCGGCGCAGCCACACTTACATAACTTGTTGACCTAAAATGTTTGCTGCCGACGAAGTAGCCTGGGGCGTTCACGTCAGCAAAGCCAGCCCGGCGTACTCCCGTCAGTATAGCCGGCCTAGTGCGCTCCTGTCAGCATGGCCAGCCTGATGTGCTCTCATCAGTATGGCCGGCCTAGTGCGCTCCCGTCAGTATGCCCAGCCTGATGTGTTCCCGTCAGTATGCCCAGCCTGATGTGTTCCCGTCAGCATGCCCAGCCTGATGTGTTCCCGTCAGTATGCCCAGCCTGATGTGTTCCCGTCAGTATGGCCAGCCTGATGTGCTCCCGTCAGTATGGCCAGCCTGATGTGCTCCCGTCAGCATGGCCAGCCTGATGTGTTCCCGTCAGTATGGCCAGCCTGGTATGTTCCCGTCAGTATGGCCAGCCTGGTGTGTTCCCGTCAGTATGGCCAGCCTGGTATGTTCCCGTCAGTATGGCCAGCCTGGTGTGTTCCCGTCAGCATGGCCAGCCTGGTATGTTCCCGTCAGTATGGCCAGCCTGGTATGTTCCCGTCAGCATGGCCAGCCTGGTGTGCTCCCGTCAGTATGGCCAGCCTGGTATGTTCCCGTCAGTATGGCCAGCCTGGTGTGTTCCCGTCAGCATGGCCAGCCTGGTATGTTCCCGTCAGCATGGCCAGCCTGGTGTGTTCCCGTCAGTATGGCCAGCCTGGTATGTTCCCGTCAGTATGGCCAGCCTGGTGTGTTCCCGTCAGTGTGGCCAGCCTGATGTGTTCCCGTCAGTATGGCCAGTCTGGTGTGTTCCCGTCAGTATGGCCAGTCTGGTGTGTTCCCGTCAGCATGGCCAGCCTGGTGTGTTCCCGTCAGCATGGCCAGCCTGGTATGTTCCCGTCAGTATGGCCAGCCTGGTATGTTCCCGTCAGCATGGCCAGCCTGGTATGTTCCCGTCAGCATGGCCAGCCTGGTGTGTTCCCGTCAGTATGGCCAGCCTGGTATGTTCCCGTCAGTATGGCCAGCCTGGTGTGTTCCCGTCAGTGTGGCCAGCCTGATGTGTTCCCGTCAGTATGGCCAGTCTGGTGTGTTCCCGTCAGTATGGCCAGTCTGGTGTGTTCCCGTCAGCATGGCCAGCCTGGTGTGTTCCCGTCAGTGTGGCCAGCCTGATGTGTTCCCGTCAGTATGGCCAGTCTGGTGTGTTCCCGTCAGTATGGCCAGCCTGGTATGTTCCCGTCAGCATGGCCAGCCTGATGTGTTCCCGTCAGTATGGCCAGCCTGGTGTGTTCCCGTCAGTGTGGCCAGCCTGATGTGTTCCCGTCAGTATGGCCAGCCTGGTATGTTCCCGTCAGCATGGCCAGCCTGGTGTGTTCCCGTCAGTGTGGCCAGCCTGGTGTGTTCCCGTCAGCATGGCCAGTCTGGTGTGTCCCCGTCAGCATGGCCAGTCTGGTGTGTTCCCGTCAGCATGGCCAGTCTGGTGTGTCCCCGTCAGCATAGCCAGCCTGGTGTGTTCCCGTCAGTCCGTTCCTTGGGCCGCCGACAGCTAATTTTCACACGGTCTTGACCTGTCCTCGACCTGCCCATCCGCACGTCTGACCGAGAACCGCCCTGCTGAACCGCACTGCTGAGCCGCCCTGCTAAACCGCACTGCCACGCAAATGCCAGGGTGAAAATACAACACATAGAGCAGCCACACACTCTGGCAGTCGCCCCGCCCCCCGTCTGGAGCACCGAGCGCCACGGGTCAGCGCCCGGGTGCACGAGCAGGACATGCCGACTGGAGAGACGTCTGCTCTCCTCGCTCTTTGTCACCGGCTGCTGACCCGTGGCGTCGGTCTGAGTTGAGCGAAGAGACGGCTGCTCTCCTCGCTCCGTGACACTGCCCTGTGGGGATTGTCTGGGTCGCGCGCCGCCGTCCACCGTAAGTCGTCTCCGACGAGCCGCTCCAGAGGCCGGCGGCGCGTGACCGGCGCGCCGCGGTGAAAGCGGTACGATTAATCCACAGAATTAATCAGGACAAAAAGCGGTGTGTGACGGCGAAAGCATCGCCGCCACCGGCGCGCCATGCAGCGGGGGAGGGGGAGGGGAGGGTTCATGAGGCCCGCTCAGGTCACGGGAGGAGAGCGGGGATAGCTTTCGGGTGCGGAGGCGGACGGCCGTGGGCAAGCCAGGGGTGGGCAAAATGGTCGTGTTTGCAGGAGTTGGTAGGCTTCGTACAGGCTCCAGCAGTCAAGTGTTTCCTTGGAAAAGTGTCTTTGGATTAATGTTATGTCGTAACTGGTGACCTTTTTGCTGGAGCACACCAGCCCTCTCCCCCTCCCTCCGGTGATCCGATATGCCTCCCTGCTGGGACTGGACGTGATCCACCCATGTACTGGATCGACGCGTTTGGTGATCAGCCAACAGGCAGAGGAGGGTGACCGGGCAGCGGGCAGTGGACAGCGGAGGGCCGTGTGACCAGACAGTGGGCAGAGGAGGGCGGGTGACCGGGGAGCGGACAGCGGGCAGAGGAGGGCCTGGTGACCGGGCAGCGGGCAGCGGGCAGAGAAGGGTCGGGTGACCAAACAGCGGGCAGAGGAGGGCCGGGTGACCGGACGGCGGGCAGAGGAGCGCCGGGTGACCGGACAGCGGGCAGATACGGCCCGATCTCCGGCCGGGGCTGGGCTGAGGCCCGACTGATCTCCGGCCGGGGCTGGGCTGAGGCCCGGCTGATCTCCGGCCGGCCGAGGCTGAGCAGCTCTCGCGTATGGCAGACCTTGCCTCAGGGACGTTCGGCGGTACTCTCAAACACCGGCGCGACAGAACGGCGTGTCCGCGTGTCTTCGCCTCGCGAAGGCGACGGATCCACCAGGGCCCTGTTCGGCCAGGCTTTGGCACCGTGTCATGGCCTTCCCAGACCTTGGCATGGACATCGCGACGGCGGATCGCGGGTTCCTTCGACCGTCTGCGGTCGCGCTCTGGTCTCAATCTGCGTGTGACAGGAGATTAGGCCGAGGTCCCAATCAGCGTGTGACGGGAGATTAGCCCGAGGTCTCAGGTGGAGCCATCGGGACGCTCCCCTGGTGCGCCACCCCGCCGACCGGCCCCCAGACGCTGAGATGGAGGCGGGATGTCCGCACAGCTGTGTGGGATCATCTCGCTGCGCGCGATGCCGTCTTTCGGGGCGACTGAACCGTTGGGTCGAGATGATATTTAAGTCGACAGCGCACCTGTGGTGGATCACGGCGAATGCCTAATCCTCAAATTGGTCTCCATTTGTAGTTTCGATGGAAGCTGCTGCGAGCCGGCGGCTTTAGCGGATGTCGGCCGGGGAGCCGGCTGGGAACGGACGGCTCTGCCCGCTGGATGTCTCATGCAGCGGCCCACCGCGCGAGGGGTTCGGCGTTCTGATCAGGCTCCCAGCGCACACCCGCCGACAGCTCGCGCAGCTTCAGTGACACACACTGCACACACACACACACACACACGTCGAACATAAACATCAGGAAGGGTGCTATGTGTAGCGCACCGAACACCGCGAACTGAGCGATTGCAATTAACGTGGTGATTACGTGCTCCCCAGGAGCTATCTAAATAACAGGCAGAGTGACGGGTCGGATGACCGCGCATCCAAGCCTTCCTTTCCGACCAAGGGACGTGGCCATCAATTTGCCTGCGTCCGCCTGGCATCAATTTGCGCTATCGGGCAGTCCAGTGTGCCGGTCGATAAAACAATAATGCCGGATGGGGCCCCGGGCGGGCGCACGCGCGGCCCAGCAGCGTGGCCCCGGCGGCCGCACCGGTGCACTGAAACGACCCACCCGCACGTGCATTATGGTCCGGCCGACGCATTTTGCTGGACAGAGGTAATGATCCAGCCATTGCTCTTGGACAGGTCGTGTGTGTGGCTGTGGTATCAGCGAGAGGGCGACCGGGACTGTCCCCAGCACCGCCAGCTAACGCCGCCACCTTTGCAGACCCGGAGCTGCCTGGCTGGGCCAAGGGGGACGTGGACTCGTTCGTGCCGCACGTCTACACGGCCGACGAGGACGTCCACGTCCGGCTGGCGCTCTTCACCGCCGACCGGTACGTTCTTCACGGGACATAGCGGGCAGGCCGGCCGATGGCTGGCGGCGGGGTCACGTGACTTGGGGATGGGCTGGACCGGGCCCGCTGTGGCGCACAATGGGCTCTGATTGTGTAATGCGCCGGGTGTAACGCCACGCTGCAAGCGGCGGCCCCGCTGAGGCTCAGCAGCCGTCGGTGAGATGAGATGAGCCGACTGTCTTCACATGCGATCTGGCTGCGGTCGGACCGCGCTGCGGACTACGATAAACGGCGCGGTGCTGACGCCGAGGCAGCGCTGGTCAACGCATCATATCCACTAATGAACTCAGGATTCAGAGGTTTCATGAGCTGATCAATGATGTGATATGGACTGCGCCGCAACCGAAACACAAAGCTCAGATGCACGGTGGAAATTCAGGTCGTGGAACTTGTAACACCGTTCATCCCATGTGGGAACGTATCACTGCAAACTTATGTAGCACTTACATGCTTTGGAACCCACATTCCACATAATAGTGTTGACCTTAGCTTTGCAAACATTGTTCGCAGATTACTGTTTGCTTAACGCTCATAACGGCTTATCTACGCCTCAGGCGTACCACTTTCCGAGTCTGCCGCACGTTGTAATGGGGTGGCGTAGCTTAAAGGAGCACTTTGTGTGTTGTCTGGAGGAAGGAAGCAATGCCGCCGTTCGAAGTTGGGGGGAGGGGGGGGGGATCCACGGGACTGTTGGCCGTTCTGGGCAGTCGGCTCACCCGCACTGACGGCTCACCCGCACTAGCGGCTCACCTGCACTGGCGGCTCACCTGCACTGGCGGCTCACCTGCACTGGCGGCTCACCTGCACTGGCGGCTCACCTGCACTGGCGGCTCACCCGCACTGACGGCTCACCCGCACTAGCGGCTCACCTGCACTGGCGGCTCACCTGCACTGACGGCTCACCCGCACTAGCGGCTCACCTGCACTGGCGGCTCACCTGCACTGGCGGCTCACCTGCACTGGCGGCTCACCCGCACTGGCGGCTCACCTGCACTGGCGGCTCACCTGCACTGACGGCTCACCTGCACTGGCGGCTCACCTGCACTGGCGGCTCACCTGCACTCGCGGCTCACCCGCACTGGCGGCTCACCTGCACTGACGGCTCACCTGCACTGGCGACTCGCCTGCACTGAAGGTTCACCCGCACCGAGGGTTCACCTGCACTGACGGCTCACGTGCACTGACGGCCCACCTGAACTGGCGGCTCACCTGCACTGGCGGCTCACCTGCACTGGCGACTCGCCTGCACTGAAGGTTCACCCGCACCGAGGGTTCACCTGCACTGACGGCTCACCTGCACTGGCGGCTCACCCGCACTGAAGGTTCACCTGCACTGACGGCTCACCTGCATCGGCGGCCCACCTGCACCGAGGGTTCACCTGCACTGACGGCTCACCTGCATCGGCGGCTCACCTGCACTGAGAGTTCACCTGCACTGACGGCTCACGTGCACTGACGGCTCACCTGCACTGACGGCTCACTAGCACTGACGGCTCACCTGCACTGACGGCTCACCTGCACTAACGGCCCACCTGCACTGACGGCTCACCCGCATCAGACAGGGAATGCACAGCGTGCGATTCCAGTATTTCAGCTTGTTAGTGCATAGTACGGAGCGTTCCGGTACCTTACTTGTTAGTGCATAGTACGGAGCGTTCCGGTACCATATTCCAGTACCATATTCCGGTACCATTCGTATTAAGTAATGGTGGGACTGAAATGCTTCCGTGTTCCGACCATGGGATCTATCGCCGCTTGTCAGGGCTGCGGACAGCGGTACAGAGGAGTCGGGGGAAGAGCCGCCGGCACCGGTTCCTCCGGCGCGCTACCTGCGCTGTGTGGCCGGTACACCGCTCACCGTGCTGCAGAAGTTTGTCCGGACCAAGTTCCAGATGCCCCAGACAGTTCAGGTGAATAGTTGTTTGCGGTCTACAAATGTCTGTTTTGGCCCGTTCGGAGGGTCTGTTTTGAGAACCTCTGAAGTCGGTCGCAGTTTGTGATTTGCTTTATTTCCGTGCGTAACTGCGGGGAAAGGCTGCACAGGGCAATGGCGGCTGGTTGTCTCACTGGTGATCAAGCCCGGTGGAAAGTACTCTGTTTGGACAAGTTATTGACACTTTTTCGTCTTCCTTACGTTTGTATGTCCTGATGTCACTCCGTCTGCCGGTCAGGTCCAGCTGATTTACGGCAGCCACGTCCTTCCCGACGACATCAGCCTGATGGACCTCCAGTACATGTACAACCCCAGTCAGGTAAGCATTCAAACTGGCCGTCATATATCCTCGTGCACTTAAACAGGCATAATCCATATAATTTTGCCAATAATTGTTTAGTGCTTTTGCGAGGGAAGTTATGCACATAGATACGAAAATGGTAATAGCCTTATTTCACGGGGAAAACCCGGGAGCATGAAGACGTAAGTGCGTTGATACTTCGGCAATATACCTATATCGCAACGAACAGGAGAAGTGAATTCAAAATTGCGTGCCGATGATCCTGCTCGATTTTTCGTTGTTTTTTTTAAACAGCGAGCGGCAGCTTTTTTCGTCGGTGGTCTGTAAAACTGTAGCCTGGGTTTAAGAAAAAAAACCCTGAAAAATGGAGCAGGATCATCGGCAGGCAATGTCAAATTCACTTTTGCTTTGGTTTCTATGAAGGCGTGCTGCCGAAGTATCGACGCATCTGTATTTCCATTCTCCTAGTTTTTCTCCGAGGAATAAGGTTATTACTGCTGTCTTATCTCACGCTACCATCGGTGAAACATCAGAGGCCGTTAAATTGTTCTCTAGAGCCTATTTTTATATCGTAGTCGGTACCGCAGTATGTATGCATCATGCTGCACTGTATTGCTTCGTGATAGTATTCTCGGTATCTGTACAACCGGAGACCAAAAAGTTTAAACACATATTTTGACGCCAACCAGTTTTCCTATCTCTCCAGCATGCGCAAATTTAGAAAACAAAAGTCTTTGCGCTCGATTGCAGACCGCGTGACGTCAAGTCTTACATTAAGCCCTGAGATGAGAATGGCTCAGCGCCGGCACTAGTGGCCAGTGCACCAGCACGTCAGCACAACCGGATCAAAGCACACAGCTTTGCAGCTCCTCCTTTGATGGCTTGATATGCTCTGCACAAGTGCTTGGGTCGGCCAAAGCTGCCGCTTATTCCAATTGGTCGCTCAGGTTGTTGGCTGAAGCACTGCCCTGTATTTCCGAGTGGTCATATTCATGCGATGCGAAGCACCACAGGATTAGGCAATACAATGTGTTGGTCAGAGTTTTTATATCAGCACCAGTCTTTGAAAAGTTCCAGTCATCCATCGAAACTAATGTAACCAAGCCACTGGAAAAATCTTCACTATTAATAGCACCATTCGGATCTCAGCCCAGCGTCTTAGAATAGTTACGAGAGTCACGTAACGTAATCAGCTATCCTCCCGTGGCTTTCAGGACGCTGCCGTCTGCTTGTCGTACCGCTTCGTCAGGCGGCAAAGGCGCACGGCACCCGCGGAGGCCGAGCTGGTGGAAGAGATTGCTGACAAGCGTCCAAGAGAGGACCAGGAGGAAGCGGATGTGTCAGACACCAAACGACAGAGAACGGAGGATGCAGACGCACCAGACGCTAACATGCAGACATCAGAAGGAGGGGACCTACTTGATTGTAAACCACACATGGAGGAGGGAGAGAAGGCGCCAGGTGCCCAGCGGCAGGAGGCGAGTGAGAAACAGACGCCGGATGTCCATCGTCTGACCGCAGACCTCGAGACGCTCAAGAGACCGCTGGTCCTGCTCGAGCGGATGTTCGACGTGGAAGACGAGGAGCCGACATCGCCGCAGATTGTGGAGGATATCATCGCCAGCCTGGACGCGGCGGAGGAGGCAGCGGATGAGGCGGCGGAGGAGGCGGCGGACAAGCCGGTGGACGAGGCGGCGCCAGACCCCGTCGTGAGCTCCCCGCTGCCAGCAGCGATCGCAGGTCAGGCGACTGACCCTGCGGGCGTCCGCCAACCCGACGAGCCCCGCTCTGCCGATCCGGCCACTCCTGCCCTGGCCCCGGCGCCGGAGAGCCGGCCAGGGCCTGGCGGACAGGCGTGTGGTGAGGCGAGGGAGTCGCGGCTGCCGGCGTCGCCCGCCGCATTACAGACGGATACAGGCGTGCCGAGTGTTAACTCCGAAGACCATACGGTGGTCGATGGCGCCGACTCCACTGTTCAGCGCCCCAGCGGTGACGATTTCCAGAGGCCGGCGTCGGTGGACGGTGTCAGCAGTGGCGACTTCCAGAGGCCGGCGTCGGTGGGCAGTGTCAGCAGTGGTGACTTCCAGAGGCCGGCGTCGGTGGACGGTGTCAGCAGTGGCGACTTCCAGAGGCCGGCGTTGGTGGACGGTGTCAGCAGTGGCGACTTCCAGAGGCCGGCGTCGGTGGGCAGTGTCAGCAGTGGCGACTTCCAGAGGCCGGCGTCGGTGGGCAGTGTCAGCAATGGCGACTTCCAGAGGCCGGCGCCTGCTGGCGGTGGCAGTAGTGACGACTTCCTCAGACCGGCGCCAGTTGACGGAGTTAGTGCAGTGTGCCCTACAGCGGCCGCGGCGCCAGAGGAGGCAAAAGCGGCTGAGAAGGAGGATCGCACCAGGGACAGGCACTCGCTCGACACCGCAGGAAAGGCTCACGTCCGGGACAGCACCGCAAATAAAATCGACAAAACAGTGCCTGCGCCCAGAAAAAGCACATCTGTGTGTAGTAAAAAATCGGCGCTGGTCAAAGGCGCCATAGATACGTCTGACAAAGCGTGTGTAACGCCTATCTCAAGTGAAAATGCGACGGGGCCAACCAGCAAGGTACCTACACTGATCAGGGATGCGGATAAGAGAGCTTTTCAATTTCCGACATCGAGAGGCGCCGCCAGGATCGAGACCAGCAAGCCCTCGCGCTCTCAGGCGAAAGAGGCGAGTGTCGCAGCCAGCCCGGCGCCGGCGTGCGGTGGCCGCGCTCGAGCGAGCGGAGCGCCGGCCCGGCACGCCAGTGTCTCAGCCGGTGAAATCCCGACGCCGGCGAAAGCGACCAGCGGCGCGGCGAGTCTGCTGGGGGCGCTGACCGCCACCTCGCCGGCGCTGCGGGGCTTCAGCGCCATGGCCGCTGGCGAGCGAGAGGGCGAGGTCAGGATCGAGCGCGTGCCAAACGTGTTCGTGCAGGCGGCGATGACGGGCCAAGGAAAGGGGCACTTTGGTGCGGAGCCGGCGAGCCCGACGAAAGTCGACTGTTCGGTGCAAACCACGCCCGTCAGCAGAGACAGTTCGTCAGGAGAGACGACGAGGGGCGCTAGCTCTGCCCCGCCGCGCATGGTAAACACCGGAACGGAGACGTCGGGGCTTGCGTCGGGGAAACGACCCGCCTCCTCTCGCCCGCCCAGCGTCGGGTCCAGCCAGGCCGCGTCGTCCAAAAAGCAAGCAGCCGGTGTCAGCCATACCAGACCTTCCAGCACGCCTGCGTCGAGGCTGGGAGCGGCGCCCCCTGTCGTCAGCATCCCCAAACCTCTGACGCCAAGCGGAGTTTCCCCATTGACGCACAAAGCTGCGCCAGTGGTACACAAAGCGTCCTCTGCCAGCGTGCTGAAGGTCCCCCATATATCCAACAAATACCTGTTGAACGCGCGTGCCTCAACGTCTTCGAAACCCCATCTGAAGTCGAAAACATCACGCAGTAGCAAGGTGAACCAGGCCAAAGGCGCAAGTGTGTCATATTCTTTGTGGAAAAACGCAAGCCAAACATCATCCACGGGAATGATGCGAGCAACGGACACCACTTCCACATCATCAGCAAAGCGCCCAAGCACTCATTCATCTAGTGCGTTACCACTGGACCTGTCTACGCATGTCCGGAAAGCAGTTGCCGCGGACTCCACTTCGATGCTGGCGAAGACGCCGTCACCGCCTCCGAAGGCGAAGCCGGCGAAGCCGAAGTCTGCGAAAGCTCAGGGCACGCAGACCATCCACTCGATCGTGAGCAGCCTGGCCAGCAGGCAGCACATCTCGCTGACGCCCGTCACCGCCATGTCCGGCTCCTCCAGCAAGGCCTCACCGCTGGCCTCCCGAGCTCCGACCCCCCGCCCGCCGCTCATCTCGACCCACTTGCCCATGCCGCTGCCGTTGCCAATGCCGGAGTACTCTTTCGCGCCCGGCGGCATGTTCAACCCTCAGCTGCACGTCAACACGAGCATGGCCAGCCGCTTGAGCTACGACATGGCCATGCGGAACCTGCTGACGCTCTCCCACATGGCCATGGCCCAGGGCGGTATGGTCCGTCCGCCCATGTTTCCCATGCAGGCCATGTTCCCGCCTCGGCCCAAGAGCCAGGACTTCCACCCGATCCCAGACCCGTCGCTGCTGCGGCAGCAGTCCGAGGCGCGGATGGGGGCCGCCTCCAAGAAGGCGTCGCCGACGGCGGGCAGCACGGCTCCGCAGCTGCGGACTCCGACCGCGCTCACGTCGGCCTCGATCCAGCACATGGAAGACCTGACGCGGACGCTGGGCAAGCGGCCCGAGAAGCAGCGTCACTCCGTCACCGTCACCGCCATACCCTCCAGCGAATGAAGGCATTAACCTGCCACGCTAGTCTCTGCCTGCGAGTGCGCACGCTAAGGCTTCACACCCTTCTCTTCCCCCGTCCCCCTGCCCCAGCAGCCGGCTCGAAGAACTGCGCTAGACTGCTGGCCACGGGCGGACGCATTGCGGGGTGCGGCATTGCACGCCCTCGGCGCCAGTTTACACCTGAATCGCCGTGACCTTTGAAGCATGCCGCGCCGTGCCGTGCCGTGCCGTGCCGTGCCGTGCCGTGCCGCGCCGCGCTGCGCCGTGCCGTGCCGTGCCGTGCCGTGCCGTGCCGTGCCGCGCCGCGCCGCGCCGTGCCGTGCCGTGTCGTGACTTGACGGCAGGCAGGCAGGCAGGCTGGGTGCCTGCAGCGGCGCCCATCGGCGTGACGGACCGCGCGGTGACGGACCCCGAGCGCCTCCACCGGCACCCCATGGTGCTCCCGTCTCTGGTCTGGCGGAGGAGGGCGGGCTGGAGAGCGGGGGTTGCCGACAGCACTAGGCTATTTGCGGTGCGAAGAGCACCGCTATCAGGCGGCGTGCCTAACGTGGCTCGCGTGTTTCTGCGGTGCTCTGGACAGTAGTGCCACATCAGGGCGGGCGTGGTGCGCTTCGACCATTCGTATAGAGATCTCAGTCAGAACGCAGGCAGTGTGTCTGTAGCGGAAAGTGCAATTTGTAATGGTTTGTGCATAAAGATAGCTCGCTTCCACGGCTCATGATGCCCAATTGCGGTGCAAATGTACAGGTGAATGCGGTGGACTGTGTCATCCCGATGATTGTCATACGACATGACCTTTCTCGCTCTTGTGCTTGATATTTTATTGAATACGTCATGTTACGCATTTAGGGATACACTTTTGTTGAGCAAACCAAATATAGATGTTTATTGTGTACCATGGTAAGCCAAATACATATGTCGGTATGAAGTAGACCCATTGTGTTCGCGGTCACTGACATGATAATGCGTCACATTCTAAATATGGCTACGAATTAGAATTTCACATTCTAAAAATGGCTACGCACGGCATCTCAACCGACATGAACCATCGAAAGTGACGCTTCTGCCAGCTTTATGTCCGGAATTATTCGCTGGAGAGATCGTTATTGCAGGACAGAAGACATTGTTATGATCACGCCTGACAGAGGCAGCTCGTGAACATCACGCGATCAGAAGCCATGAATGAAAACAAACACGCGTGTTGCGCATGCACCGAGGAAACATTGAACCAAGTTACATCCGTTTTGACACTTAACCGTCCACACCTGCGCCCGATTTTGCATTCGCCGATTTCTATTCAAAACGCCCCAAAATGTCGAGGGGGATAAGAGCTTACACGTGTCACAGATTCGGTAATAATTCTGAGCATAACACAAATGTTATTGAACAGTGATGAATCGATGACGTATATAATTTCACGCGCGTTCTAGAATTCCAAGCCACTGTCTCGCAGAACTCCAAAACGCAAGGCTCTATTGCCACTGACCGAAGTTAAAGTACTTGGTATACGGACTCCATTAAGGTGCCATGCTGTTAATGGGACATTGGGACATATGCCACCGGGCTCACCACGCTGCCAATGTGTCACGAGGAACTTATGACACGACCGCTGGGCTTGCAAGAAATTTGGCTCGCGTTGCCGTGAATTTTTTTTACTATCTTACGAAAAGATTTGGGGATTTCCAATATTTACCAGAATTCGGCCATTCTAAAGCTCTCTCATTTTTTTCCGCGAACGTGTAAAATGTCCTTATTTAAACGGGATATCCATCACCCAAACTACTTGACAGCTGAAATGTATCCATTTTTATAGTTTCCTTCCGGCCGTAGCTCTATAAACTAAAGTTTTGCCACAACACGATATTGAAACCGCGTGTTTACCTTTCATAGGGCCTGTTATAAGGCAAACACTTTGTAAAATTATTACAGTGTGAAGGGGTTCCTGGCGAGAAAATAAGATGGAACTTAAGGCAAGCGGGTTTGTCTCAAGTTTATACGTATTCACCTCAATGTATTGGTTTTGATAGCCCCACACACTTTCCAAAACTGAACCAATATCGACACAACGTTTGCAATTACATACATGGAATGTTAAAGCCATCCGTCTTTGACTCATGCTGCATCTTTTCTTTGACAGTTCATTAATATTTGTGCTGTACTCCTTCTGAAGAACTTTGTCGTAGAAAGAATCCTATGGCAAGTTAATGCCTCGTATCTGCCCGTGATACGGCGCAATTCCTTCCGTAATCTAGATCAAAACAATATGTCGGCGCTATTAACTATAACACCAACTATCGGCGGGGACAAGTATTCAAGGCATTGGAATCCACGACTTGTTCATCTTTTCATAAATAATCGCTAGCTTTCAGATTGAGACTAATCGTCTAAATTGTGGCATTGCGCTGCTTGAGTGCTACACGATATCTCCGCATTGATTGCGACCTATTTTAATATACAAGGCACAGTATGCTTGATAGAAATCGCTCATGCAGAAAAACCTATACATGATAAAAGCTGCAATTATTGCTGCAAGTCTATGTTGACCATTAGCAAACGTAGCTGGCTAAACGGAAAAGTTGAGTCTTCTGACTAGTTTTTTAATATCTTTTCAAGGAGACCGGGCCCATCGAAATAGTGTTATTAAGTTTTCGCTAAAACAAATGCCAAATTAGGGCGTCTGAAAGTCCCCCTTTTAACCATAATACATTCTGGTCACCTGACATCATTTCAGTTTTGCGTTTCGTGTTTGATGGCAACATTGTGGAATGAGACGGTGCAATAACTGAAGTACCGCTATGTAACATTCGCCGCTCAAGAGCCTGTGTTGAGGCCAGATATGGTGAGTCGTGAAATGCAGACGGAAAGCTACTAACAGGATGAATAATGTCAAGAGAGTTGAGAGTTTACCTCGCATCGTTCTACACATCTAATTTGCAACTGAGTTTTTGAATAGAGTAGATAAAAAACCCCGATAACCAGTTTCTCCTGGGTGGTATCGAATGCATGGCTTGCTGTTAACAGCGCCGAAAATCGATTGGCTGAACCCATGTTTTCACCGCACAAGCCATTTGCTTTGCTCAGCAGCACCAGACCTTCTGAATGATATTGGGTTATTTGGCTTGCAGCTGGATACCGGCGACCAGGACGGTGAATCATTTTGATGTCTAATGACTTTTGCGATGTGATATCTAGCATTAATTGCCAACCACTGCAGCTGGACCAATCAAATTGTGCTACTGCTCAATGCAAACTGGCGGGACAGCTGTTGCTAAATCATCGGCCGACCTTACAATATCATGATTCATTCAACAGTGAAACTATTGGTGCCACTTGCAAACTCGCGTAGGGCAATCTGTGATAGCCTTTCACGCTGGTGTATATGGTAATTGTCACCGCCCGTTTGATCCGCGCCTTAAAGAGACTTCTGCGGACGCAAGGGCAGTCGCGATTGATTTGAATCTTCCTAGCGGTGATGGCAAGCTAGCTGCACCCGACCGCCGCGTGCAGCAATCGTCAATTACCGTCCAAATATTTCGACATCACGGCACGGCGGGGAGCGGTATGGTGGGGGGGGGGGGGGAGGGAGTGCGTCCTGTCATGGTGGTCAGTGGGGCGGCGGGCGGCCTGTACCTGATGGGCAGGAGCGGGCTGGGTGGCGAGCGTCTCGTCAGTGGGATGATGGATGCGGTGCGGGGACGTCGATTTGTGTAAATAGTTGGAGCGGGGGGGGGGGGGGGGGCGCATCCAGGACCCGACAACCTAACTACCCCGAGACGGGTGTGCTCTATTCACTTAGTCGACTTGTCTGGAGAAATGAAAACCTTGCATCATTTATGAACTACACAATTATTTGAGCAGCATGCGTTCATTACAGCGAAGATTGTCCAACAGAAGATCAGCTCTGTATTGGTTATTAATGTTTTATGAAATGATTTTCTCGTAATATTTCAAGCATGTCCTGTCTTGTGATATGTAAAAATAAAATAAGTTTTGGTGTTCATTCAAACATAAGGAGTCTCCATAAGCATCGCAGGACGAGCGTTCTCATGACAGGATACAAATCGACGCGGCGCGTTTGGAGCAGCAGAGCAGCCCAGTGGAGGACGTCGCCGTCACGGCAAGGACGCCGCGGCGTAGCGGATAAGGCGACCAAGGTTTGTATACGCTATGATGATGAAGCGTGGTGGAACGGTGTTGTGCGTGGGTTGGTCCCCATAACATACATAGGCGGGAAGGGAAAGTAAGCTTTCCCATTTACAGTTTTGTTGCGCTCTTGGAGAGTTTTTAATGAATTTCTTCAAACAGAAGAACTAGAGAGAACTTATCCTGACGAAAGAAGATAGCAAAGCTGTAATACAGCGTCGGCACCCGTGTCACCTGAGCGCGGCTGAGAGCATGATGTAGCGCCAGTCAATGCCGTCCAGACCCGCGTCTGCGCTCCTTCCGGCGCGTGCTGCCGTGCGGTCCCCCTCCCAGTCACGGCGGCTCCGCTCCCGCCGCCGCTCAGTGTCAGCACGAGTAGCTGGCGCTGATCCGAAAGCCAGCACACAGCCGCTCCGGCGCGTGCTGTCGTGTGGTCTCCCATCCCAGTCACGACGGCCCGAGTTCAGCAGTGCGGGGCAGGAGGTGCCGCCTGTGGCTGCGGCGGGCGGTACGGCAGCGCGGGGCGGGAGGCGCTGCCCGTGGCGGTACAGCAGCGCGGGTGGGAGGTGCCACCCATGGCGGTACAGCAGTGCGGGGCGGGAGGCGCCGCCCGTGGCGGTGCAGCAGCGGGGCGGGAGGTGCCGCCTGTGGCAGTGCAGCACAGCGCGGGGCAGGAGGTGCCGCCTGTGGCTGCGGCGGGCGGTACAGCAGCGCGGGGCGGAGGTGCTGCCCGTGGTTGCGGCAGGCAGTACAGCAGCGCGGGGTGGCAGGTGCCGCCGTGGCTACAGTGGGCGGCGCATCAACGCGGGGTGGAGGCGCCGCCCGTGGCTGCGGTGGGCAGTAGAGAGCAGCGGGGCAGGAGGTGCCGTCTGTGGCTGCGGCGGGCGGTACAGCAGCGCGGGGCGGAAGGTGCTGCCCGTGGTTGTGGCGGGGCGGTACAGGCAGCGCGGAGGTGGCAGGTGCCGCCCGTGGCTACAGTGGGCGGCACAGCAGCGCGGGGTGGGAGGCGCCGCGCGTGGCTGCGGTGGGCAGTAGAGCAGCGTGGGGGCAGGAGGTGCCGTCT